TGCTTAAGGGAGTATGGGAAATAGATCTGTTTAAGGGTATAGAGAGGAAATAGATCTGCTTAAGGGAGTATAGAGGAGAAATAGATCTGTTTAAGGAGTATAAAGGAAATATATCTGTTTAAGGAGTATAGAGGAGAAATAGATCTGCTTAAGAGTATAGAGGAGAAATAGATCTGCTTAAGGGAGTAGGAAATATATCAGTTTAAGGGAGTATAGCAAAATAGATATGTTTAGAGTATAGAGGAGAAATAGATCTGTTTAAGGAGTATAAAGGAAATAGATCTGTTTAAGGGAGTATAGAGAGGAAATATATCTGTTTAAGGGAGTAGAAGAGAAATAGATCTGTTTAAGAGTATAGAGGAGAAATAGATCTGTTTAAGGAGTATAGCAAAATAGATCTGCTTAGGGAGTATAGGAGAAATAGATCTGTTTAAGGAGAGTAGCAAAATAGATCTGCTTAAGGGAGTATAGGGAGATAGATCTGTTTAAGGGAGAGCAGAAATAGATCTGCTTAAGGAGTATAAAGGAAATAGATCTGTTTAAGGGAGTATAGAGAGGAATAGATCTGCTTAAGAGATAGAGGAGAAATAGATCTGTTTAAGGAGTATAAAGGAAATATATCTGTTTAAGGAGTATAGAGGAGAAAGATCTGCTTAAGGAGTATAGAGGAGAAATAGATCTGCTTAAGGAGTATAGGAGAAATATATCAGTTTAAGGAGTATACAAAATAGATCTGTTTAAGGAGTATAGAGGAGAAATAGATCTGTTTAAGGGAGTATAAAGGAAATAGATCTGTTTAAGGAGTATAGAGAGGAAATATATCTGTTTAAGGGAGTATAGAAGAGAAATAGATCTGTTTAAGCGAGTATAGAGGAGAAATAGATCTGTTTAGAGGAGAAGAAAATAGATCTGCTGGGAGAGGGAGAAATAGATCTGTTTCAGGAGTATTGAGAGGAAGGAGAGAGGTAGTGAAGTATATGGAGGAACACACACGGGAATACAGACACACACACACACACGCAGACACACACACACGCATACACAAACACACACACAGGAATACAGACAGACAGACAGTTTTATCGTCCGTGTTATATAGACAGAGACAGACAGATTGATAGAAAGACAGACAGACAGACGAAGAGACATAAATAGACAGTTTGGGCCGGAGGGAAACATGTTATTAATTTCACAGCGAAAATAGAACTGGTTTTGGTCTTTCCCGAGTACATGTTACCACTGTACCATTGTACCATTCTAACATCAGTATTCATCTCTATCACATGTACCATTCTAACACTGTACCATTCTAACACTGTACCATTCTAACACTGTACCATTCTAATACTGTACCATTTCAACACTGTACTATTGTACCATCTTAACACTGTACCATTCTAACACTGTACCATTCTATCACCGTACCATTCTATCACTGTACCATTCTAACACTGTACCATTCTAATACTGTACCATTTCAACACTGTACTATTGTACCATCTTAACACTGTACCATTCTATCACTGTACCATTCTATCACCGTACCATTCTATCACTGTACCATTCTAACACTGTACCATTCTATCACCGTACCATTCTATCACTGTACCATTCTAACACTGTACCATTCTAATACTGTACCATTTCAACACTGTACTATTGTACCATCTTAACACTGTACCATTCTATCACTGTACCATTCTATCACCGTACCATTCTATCACTGTACCATTCTAACACTGTACCATTCTATCACTGTACCATTACCTACACCCTTCACCATACCACCACCCACTTAATATACGGTACAGTGTAACTTGCTTGTTAATACAGGAGAAATAGTAGCTGTAACTACCATTATCTACTGTACTTCTTATCTATTACATACTGTACTGTACTCCTGTAACCTAATGCACTCGTTAGGATGTGTGTATCTGTAAACAACTCCACTACAGTAATTGCCTTAAAAAAATAGACTGTTCTGGGTAGTTTGAGTTTTATTGGTCGTTAGTGTTATGATGAACTAGAGTGGCGGCCATTGAAGAGTCGTAATCATATGACGTTTATGTTATTGTAAATTAGGTTATTACCGTCGGTCTGATGAACATGTGGACGATAACTGTGTCAGAGGCTTAGGGTCGTTCAGGTTTACATACATACATACACACATACATACATACATACACACATACATACATACATACACAACTAGTTTATTCTATCTATAATTGATCATCTGTTAAACAAAGTGCCACTGACATTATTATTCACAGTAAATTCACTTTATTTAATATAAGTAAGAGGTAAATTCTTGTGAACCTGAACCCTCCCTCTGAAGCAGCCAACGAACCTGCTTCATTTGTTGTTACCTCGACTCACCAGGATCATACGAGTACTGATATAACCAATCCCATATCAATATTCTAATTCTGATATACCTTTTACCCATTAAACCTACCCATTAAACTTACCCATTAAACTTACCTGTTAAACTCACCCATTAAACTAACCCATTAAACTTACCCATTAAACTTACCTGTTATACTTACCCATTAAACCTACCCATTATACTTACCCATTAAACCTACCCATTAAACTTACCCATTAAACCTACCCATTAAACTTACCCATTAAACTTACCCATTAAACTTACCCATTATACTTACCCATTAAACCTACCCATTAAACTAACCCATTAAACTAACCCATTAAACTAACCCATTAAACTAACCCATTAAACTCACCCATTAAACTAACCCATTAAACTAACCCATTAAACTCACCCATTAAACTCACCCATTAAACTTACCCATTAAACTTACCCATTAAACTATCAAAATGTTGCATGATTTCACAAGACCCTAAACCAAAGCTGTACTAGTTAATGAGAGATTTATCGAAGGTCACCTGAACCCATAAGCATTTTAGTAACTTTGAATGCCAGTTG